ATAAATGTTTTCGGGGAATGCTATCAAATATGCTTTGCGTAATTGCCATCAATTAATGCTACCTAATCGCTATCGGGTATGCTATATACAGTACACGCTATCTGGTTATGCTATATATATATGTTATCTAGTTATGTTATCGATTAATGCTACCAAATATGTATGCTATGTATATCACGTAAATGCTATCGGGTTATGCTATCGAAAAATGCTATCGACTAATGTTATCAAATATGCATGCCGGTTTCGAGTATTCGTATCCTGGCTTTGTATGAAGCATTCGAATATTAATTGAGGATGAGACACGTAGTGCCAAATTGTTAACAGTTGTTAGCTTCGTATAATTCATTCAATTATCACCCGAGAATGAGGCACGTAGTGCTGAATTGTATTTCGAAGAAATGGCACGAAGTGCCTTAACATATCTGATAATGCACCAAAGCATCCAATGATGAGGCACGTAGTGCCGAACACTTAGTAATACTCAAAGCATTGTAATAAGTATATCTGTTTTCTGTTTTTATATTATGAAAAGGGGTAGACAAGGCTTGATATAGAAATGGTATGGTGGATATAGATATAAAAAAATCTTAATGCGGTTGGGACAGCAAGGTTACAGCAATTTAATTACTTTTGGCTTGTTTGAATTACTCCCAGATGCGAAAAAAATATGTAACCTTGCTGACCCAAAAAATATATAACTGAAATGTAACCTTGTCCTAAAAATCATATAATCAAAATGTAATCTTGCTGTCCCATCATAGCTATATATATATACTGTATTTTACTATTTCATTATATCTGCGAGTTGTTGTCCCAAAAATATATGTGATATGTTAGGCGATTGCTGTCCCAAAAATATATGTGATATGTTAGGCGATTGCTGTCCCAAAAATTTAGCCATACCTGTGCGGATTGCTGACCCTTATACCTATATACATTACTATCTTATTATACCTACGCGCTTTGCTGTTCCGAAATTTTAGTGAAGGCTTGTTGTCAAAAATCTGATTGCATCTCGATTAAAATTATATAGCACACAAAAATAGTTAACTTACCTTATCTCATATATCAGAAGCACTTACACATGGAATTTCAATAGGCGAACACGTAAATCGGATGACAGCAACTTACCCACCGTGACCCAAAAACCCTCTTTGTATAGAACGCCTGTCATCTTAAATTGGACGACACAAAAATCCCTTTTATATGATCTAGGTATTGGAATATTAGTTTCTTATTTGAATTTTTTCTTATACTTATTTGTAAAAGGCGACAAAAACCCTTTACCCGGATATATAACTAGCTGAATGTAGCAATCTCTCTTCTCTTCTCCAGAATAAGAAATTACGCATATTCAATGATTGCTAAAGATTTATTTTTCAACTCTTTTTTGTGCGGAGTAGTAGGAACTTTCATTTTAGTCTCAAAATTTCGCTTATATTCTAAGAAATCGGCCTCACCCATACTCTCGCGCTCTTTTTTCCAAAGGAATGAATTAATTGCTCCTCCTCCAATTTCAAGGCGTACTCATGAAGAACATCTTCTACATTTCTCTGTGATGACGACAAACGCCATTTTTTGTCTTCTGAAATTTCTTGGAACGTTTTTTCATAAGATGACCAACATGGTAGTTCTTCATTGGAAACTGTATGGTCCTCAAGTTTTTCTCCATCGTCATTTTCTGAATATATTCCTATACCATTCTCTTCCAAATCCACCGACTCATCTTCATTGGTTGTTTTAATCTACATTCACATTAAAGGTCAGGTGTTGTTTTTGCGTACTAAATCATTATCTGCGAGTTGTACCTTCTTAGCCCTCTGAGAAATTAAACCCTTACTATCAAGAGTGTGTTTGGATGTGGACGACACGTCAACGAGGAAGGAGTCCGAGAATCCTTCGGAAGAGAGACCGTCAACATTGTATTTCCCGGCTTCGTCTAAAAGACTAAGACTGCCAAGAACGTGGGTGCGTTTCACTGCAAGCTATTTTGCATGTTGGTCAAGGTTAGCGACATCTTGGTAAGAATGAAAGGCTGTAATATACAAAGCTCGATTTACCTTCTTCCGTTTATGGATTACTCCCTCCCAATAGGCCTGCAACCCATTTTTTGAACGTTCAGAATCCACCTGTTGCGAGAAACATATTTAGGGGGTATAAATTTGGAAATAATTAAAAAGTAAAGTTGATCGTAGAATAACGACAAGTTGACAGCAAAATAGCAACTTCAAGCAAGATAAGATGTAGATTCGCAATGGTGAAGGCTCAGAACGTGGACTGATACTCTGAGTCAGAACGTGGACTGACCCAGAGCGCCAACCACCATCACTTGGGCCAGAACGTGGACTGATACTCCTGATTAGAACGTGGACTGACCAGGAGCTCCCTTGGTTAAATAAAAGAAAATGTTACCTTGACCTTTAAAGTTTCAAAATCTTTTGGATTGGCTTCTTTTAAAAATCTGTGAGTATAAGAAAAAATTCCAATAAAAATTTATTATACTTGATACCCGGATTATACAAAGAGGGTTTTGGGATTGCGGGTGGTTCTCTCACCTGATTTACATGTCTGCCCTATGTCTCAAAGAGACGCCCCTTCGGGTCTGCAATTTTACGTAAGTACTTCGATGTAATTTATTCGATAACCATTTTTGTGTCACATGATTTGATCTATGCGTATGTAGTATACTTCAGGTAGAGATAACATGCCGAAAAGTTGGGCCACCAAGGTAAAATTATGTGTCAGGCATGGAATGTCATTTCTCCCGAAATAAGACACTAACTCCGTTATTACAGATATAAAATATAAAATTATGCTTTGGTGGGTCACCAAGTCAAGTAAAAAAAGTGGGTATCAAAAAGTAATACGTCAAGGTTATCAAAAAAGTAACGCGTCAAGTTTATCAAAAAAGTAATGCGTCAAGATTATTAAAAAAGTAATACGTCAAGGTTATCAAAAAAGTAATCCAATTTTTAACATAAAGCAAAGTGTTCGAAAGCATTAGTTATGTGAGAAAGAGTTCTAGAATGAAAAAGTATAGCAAACTTTTGGTAATACGTCAAGGCAG